AATTAAAGTACAAGTTTATTTTGATGCAAAAAAGTTTGAAATTCATGCATTTTTTCCCCCACAATACTAATTTTCTATGAACTATTTTTTTTTTTGAGAGGTTTATGCTATAGGGTGCGTGCGCTCACCAGAAAAAGACAGAGAGACAGAAAGCGAGAAATCACCCCCCGGGGAGATGGCCAAACTGTAATCCCTTCTCCTCCATTCTCCTCTCCGGATCTTGGGCACGCACGCACACGCACACACACCCAGCATGAGTTTTAAGCCGCTGGGTCTGGGATGCGAACCGTGGTCGACTACATGGGAGTCCAACGACATAGCCATTACGCTAAGTGCTGGTCCCCTCTATGAACCTTTTAAAGAGCTCTTGAGAAAATGCATTGGAAGCAGATGCTACAAAGATGTGGGGTCAGTAGGTGGTGTGGTTGAAGTGCTGGAATGGCTGACCACAGTTTGAGTCTCTGACTTAGTGGCTTAAAAATCACACCAGGCACATGAGTGTGCATGCCCCAAATTTTAAGAGCATATTAGAGAAGGGATTGTGGTGTGACCATCCCCCTTGGGAGGGTGATTTCTCACTTTCCTTGTCTCTGTCTCTCTCCGGTGAGCACATGTACCCTGTTGGAAGAATCTTAAAAAAAAAAAAAGATGTATTGTAGTTCCCTACAAAGATTCTTCATAATTCCTTAGTTCAATAAACATCAGCTGCTATTGTTATTATTAGCTTATAAGCTCCGCTCTTGTCTCTGATCTGTCACGACTTTGTTTTAAGAAGGCCAGGAACAGCTGAAAACTCTCCCTGTCTCACCTTTGTTGGAAAAACACTGATTTCTACCATCCACCTTGGCAGAGTAGCCTTTGAATATGAAGAGCAGCTGTCTATGTACACACAGAGAGAGCAAGGTTGTATTGACTCAAACCACAGAACAAGCCAGTCTAAATTATAGTCAGATCAGAAAAGAGGCAATTTTATTACAGCATGAGCACCCCTAATCCCCAAATCCGAAATTTGAAATGCTCCAAAATCTTAAACTTTTGATCATCCCACATGACATCACGAGTGGAATATTCTACTCTTGACCTTCTATGACAGGTCACAGTCAAAACACTGCAATAAGCCCAGTTTGTGGCACAGTTCGTAGCACACTGAGCTGCAATTAGAGGCTCCGTGGCCGACTGTGGGTTCAGATCCCAGTGTCAGCCTGGGAGCACAGTGGGTGCATGCATGGATGCCCAGGATGCTGACAAGCTGGAGGGAAAGGGGATGATGGCGTGAGAAAAGTATTGAGGGTATTTCTCTCTCTCTCTAACGTGTGCACATGCTTTCTATTGTAAGTAGAATAAATACACTTTTAAGAAATATAAATTTAATTTGCTATAGGGCATGTGCACGTGCCAGAGAAACAAAGAGAAAAAGACAGAGAGAGGGAAAGTGAGAGAGCACTCTCCAATGGGAAAGGGACACACCACAGTTCCTTCTCTATTTTCCTCTCGGGATTTTGGGCATGTATACACAACACGCCCAGCATGTTTTTCAAACAGCCACGTCCGGGACTTGAACCGCAGAGTCAGCCATATGGGATTCAATCACCTTAACCACCATGCCCCTGGCTGGCCTGAGAATGAATAAACTTTTAAAAAATAAAAATAAAATAATGCTGCAATACAAAGATATGGTATAAAATTACCTTCAGGCTATACGTATAATGTGTATATGAAACATAAATGAATTCTGTGTTTAAGACTTAGGTCCCATCCCCCAAAATATCTCACTATGCATACATACATATTCCAGTATCCGGAAAGCAATTCAAAAGGCAAAACACTCTGGTCCCAAGCATTTTGATTAAGGGATATTCAATCTGCACCTTCAGTTGCCAACGTGATCGTCAAAGTGCTTCTGTGAACTTGTTCTACAGAGCCGGCTTAATGAATGTACAAAGCCAATTCACAATTAGTGACATCCATTCGTGTGCCAACAACTCATACTAGAAAGTCAACATTTAATGATGACAGCGTTTAATTTACTGAGCAAATTGTCCTTAAAAACAAGTTAGGCAGAAGCCGCGCCTGCAGGCTGCCTGCTCAGGTGAAGAGCAGATTTGTTTAGCAAATCCTTTCTTCAAAGAGAGCACCAGAATTATGCAGGGCCCTAATTCAGGTGCTAGAGGCGGAGAGGCCTTTGAGATATTTCAGGACAGGGCCCTAAGGGACAGTGCCTGTGGGCCACCTGGTGTGGGGGCCTCTTCCAGGTTCTGCCCAGGCAGCCATGTCCCAACTCTAACCACATTCTACATTTCCAGAGTCATAAGCATGTCCTGGAAATCAGTGACATCCTAAATGTGTGGCATTTCTTTTTTATGCTCTAAGATTTATTTATTGAACTTTATTAATTATTATTATTATTTTTAAATTTTGCTATAGGGCATGCATGCTCACCAGAGAGACAGAGAGAGGGGAAGTGAGAAAGCAAGCCACCAGGGGACCAGTAGTTAGCGTAATGGCTATGTCGCTGGACTCCCACGTAGTCGACCGCGGTTCGAGTCTCGGACCCAGTGGCTTAAACTCACACCGGGCGCATGTGTGTGTGTGCCCAAGATCCCAAGAGGAGAGTGGAGGAGAAGGGATTGCGGCATGGCCATCCCCTCTGGGGGGTGATTT